CATTGACTCTGCGGAGTTGCTAGTATCTATGTTGTACTTGTCTCCCTCAGCATGACTCCTAGCCCATTTTTCATGGAATAGAATTATCCAGATATTCAGCAGCTCTAGGATACCTTCTCCTAAAATCACCATACTGAATGTTGAACTCGGTCTTAGTATATATATATGAGCGCATTCCTTGAATTTGTCAACACCTACGTCCTTGTCCCCAGTCAACTTTGGCCTAAGGTTTTGGGACAAATGCCATATACAATGACCATGTGATGCATTTGAAAACACATCCATCACTCCCTTGATGATGCTTTGATGTCTGTCGCTTATGAAAACCAAACCATCTTCATCCGGTACTACCTTTCTCAACATTCTGAAAAACCAATTCCAACTAGCATGATTTTTACTATCAATTACACCAAACGCAATGGGGTAATGGTGACGATTATGATCCTGAGCTGTTGCAATAACTAACATCCCACCATATACAGTTTTCAAAAATGTTGCATCAATCACTAACACTTTCCTCATTGCCTTAAACCCTTCAATGCTTGCCCCTAAAGCGATAAATAGGTACTTGAACCTCTCTTCTTCATCCAATTCCGTTTCCGTTACTGTCACAGAATTCACCTCTCTTAACATGTGGAGATAAGCAAACAACATCGTGTAGCAAGCTTCAGGGTTCCCACGCATATCACTAACATGTTGTTTTTTCCCTCTTCAGGCGGTGGAGTAGGAACAATCCAAACCAAGTCTTCCTTTAACAAGACTCATGATGGTTTTAGGATCCGGTGTTTCCAATTGACCACGGAAGTCCTCATGCAAAACACTTGCTACTAATCGAGGTGTGCCTTTTTGTTTAAAATATCTAGTACTCTCCTTACACCTAGAGCATGTATGCATTTTTTGTGAACTCTTACACTCCAAAAATCAGATTTCTTTATTCTAGCAACTCTTAAATAACATTCACAACCCAGGGAAGCTTGACTGCATTCAATCAGAAGTCGCATCGGGTCCGACTTCACACATTTCACACCAAACAAGTTTGCCTTTGCAGCTCTATTAACCAAATCCCATACTGCCTCCTTAGAAGGAAATTCTTGATCTTTTTCCAGATCCATACCATCTTCCCATTCTTTAACTGTTTCCTTACTTAGTTGTACAGGCCGTGAAAGCTCAACATATTCATGCCTAACATCATTCTCACAGGAATCTTCCGTTTGTCGTCGGCGGGGAAATGATGACAGAGATCTCGATTGGATCGATTCTTCTCTCAGCTCGATTTCATCTCGATTTTTGTTTGTTTTTTGTTTTAAAATTAATTTAATTTCTCCAAATAATTCATTAAGGGTATAAGGGTATAATCCACTCTATGGGTGGCATATAAACTCTAAAATGGCATGCCTGATTCAAATTTCCGGTTCAGTGGCAAACTAGCCCGTGGCTCCCTAAATATAGATAGTGTAACCGATCAAACCGAAGTGAATAAACCAAATTGTTCGTTTAAGCCCAGTTATAAAAAAAAACTACAATGAAGAGATATGGGCTAATGATCGTTTAAGGCCCAACATAATAATAAAACGAGACCTCCTCCTTTTCTCTAATTCACAACGGCCATTAGAAATGACGCTAGTGGCCTCTTTCGCCTAATTTTTTTTTTTTTTTCTCCCGTGGAGCGTTATTGATTTTCTCCGGAGATCGTCATCGCCATCGCCAGGTTTTGAATTTTTAGGGTTTCTTTCGATTTTATGTTTATTTCAGATCCAGAGCTCTCTTTTGATTGCGTGATTTTGTGTTTTTCTTAGATTTCCAAATTTCGATTTTACTTTGTTTTATCAAAGCAAATCGATAAAACTCTTTTTAATTTCAAAATTTCATGTTGGTTTTGCAGTTTCGTATTTGCGTTTTTCTATTTCGTGAAACCAAAATCACTTTTTTTTTTTTTTTTTATCGTTGTGTTCGTCAAAGATTTTACCTTTGTTGTTAGAAATTAGGGTTTCTAATCGCAAGCCCTCTTTTACATCAGTGATTTCTATAGTGTGAAGGTTTCTTAATTCGTTTACTTACTTTTTGTTTTTGAATGATTTTGGTTCTTGTTAGGGTTTCTGATGAAGACACGTTTTAAAGATTTGTTTACGTTTTTATGGATTTGAAAAACCTCCGCAAATTCAACAACGACGGATTCGATGACTGGCCTGTCACAAAGTTCTTCCTCTCCGATCTCATCAACGCCTTGGCCTCATCATGAGAGCTT